CCCCCAGCGCCTCCCTTGGTGCCCCCCCCCAGCGCCTCCCTTGGTGCTCCCCCCATCACCTCCCTTGCACCTAGTTTTCTGGTGTGCTTCTGACCCGGCAGGTCCTGCTCTGAATCCTTACACGGCTTTCAGCTCGGTGCCTGAGCACCTGCTGTCTCTCCTGAGCTTTTCCTCATTTTTAACACGGATCGTTTCTCATGCATGCAGGGTCTTGGCTTCTCAAGTATGCGGGGACGTTTTTAGTTGACCTCCCCCGCCTCGTTTTCCAGGTTGGCGTGTGGCCCCCTCCCCGTGTGGTCTGTGCTGGCTGCCTTTGCAGTGACCGAGGCTTTGGCCTGCTGCAAGGTCCCTGCCGGGGGGCACGCTGCTCCGTAGAGGCGCCTCCTCTTAGCCCTGCTTCGTCCTGCTCAGGTTACTGACAACTGCAGGGAGACGGTCCCCGTCCTTGTGGTGGGACGTGGTGCTCCGTCCTCCAGGGTGTCCACGCTGCCCCTCTCTGCTGCCCCGTCCAGGGCTGCGAGCCCAGAAGCAGTGCAGATGGCTGATGGCCGCCGTCCGCGGACCCCCTTTCCCTCACAGGTGGTTGCTCAGCTGGGCCCGGCCTCGCCAGCCGCTTCCTTCCTGGGGTCAGCTCAGCCGGCCTGGCACAGGGTCCGCCGCGGCCGCAGGGAGGGTGGAGACCGCGCCATCCTTTGCAGATTCTAACCCATTACATGAAACCTGACAGGGCTTCACGAACTCTCTAAGCAACTGAATGAAGCTCCGTGGTGGTGGCGGGGGGGGGAGGTGCAGTATAAGGCAGAAAACTCTAGGAAGGACAGATTTCCCTCATTTGCTGAGACAGAGATGCTGGGTTCCCGCCACCATGTTTTCCGAGTGGTGTCTGGTCTCTGACACCAAAACTGCCCAGTGCAGGAGCCCTTCAGGGGCAGCACCGCCCTCAGGTTTTATTGGGTCAGTATGATGGCAGCTGCCTTTTCTTTCTCAGCTCCGTTCCCCACCGTTGCTCTGCTCTGCTCTTGTCTTGTGGAGACTCCTTGGCTTCTGGTTTCTGACCCTGGACGCTGGAGTGAGGTGGGGGCTGGGCTGGGAGCCAGAGCATCTCTCCCTCTGCCCCTCCCTCCAAGGTGCCAACTTCTACAGAGTTGTCCCCCGTGGTGCCAGCTCCTGTGGGTGGCACGGGCTCCCAGGCTCTGGGCTATGCTGCTGCCTCCCTCGGTCCTCCCCGCCAGGGGAGGCTGCAGCTGTCTGGGCGGGGGGGTTGGGGGGGGAGAGGGGGCGCAGTATCTGGTTGCCTTGCCCTCCCCCATGTGGCTTTTCTGCTCTTCCATCGTTAGTGTGCTTGAAGCCACATTAAATTCCGTGTGAGGTACCTAGATTCCTCTCTGACCAGACCCTCTTGGCCCTAATTACCTAATGAGAGACAAGTCCTCCTGGGAAGAAAAAGAAAGAGATTGCTGTTTTCAACCTGGGCCTCTGGGCCTTCGCTGCTTGCCCTCAGGTGTCCGGGTGGAGTCCAGCAGGCTCGGCATTCAGGAGTGTGGGCAGAACCTGCCCCAGCTTGGAGTCACCTGGGTGGTGTGGCAAGCCTGGGTGTTAGATTGAAAAAGAGTCAGGCCCTTTCATATTGCTCACTTGTGTGTTGTTCTGTTATCTGGGGTTAACTGGGTTTTATTACCCAGACTGGTAGTGAATTGCCATAAAAAGGCCAATGTGCCAAGCATGATGTTTTGGTTTATGGACCCCCCCCCCAATACACACACCAACAAATTAATTTTGGATAGCAGCCCATTCATTAGCGTTGAGGGCAAATACTAAGGGAGAAGTCTCAATTAACCTCTATACTACTCACTTTCTTTTTTTTTTTAGATTTTATTTATTTATTTGAGACAGAGAGAGAGCATGAGAGGGGGAAGGGTCAGAGGGAGAAGCAGACTCCCGGTGGAGCAGGGAGCCCGATGTAGGACTCGATCCTGGGACTCCAGGATCATGACCTGAGCCGAAGGCAGTTGCTTAACCAACTGAGCCACCCAGGTGCCCTATGCTACTCACTTTTTGACATTGAAACACACTGCCTGTCCATGGTGAGGAGGGCGGGAGCAGAAATTGAGGGCAGGGCATCCAGGGTTTGGTCCATGCCTGCTGGCTGGTGGCCCTGCAGGGACAGCAGGGGCAGCCCACGTGTGATTATTCTGATTCTAAAGGGATACACTTGTTTTCTTTGCACTTTTTATCTCCAAATGGGTGACCTTTAAAGTATTTGTTTTATTTTATTTACCTGTCTGTCTTATTGGTAATTGCTTCCTGCATCTGTAGTATCTATAAACAAAGCCCTGGAGCAGGAACCCCTCCAGAAGCTGGTGTGCACCAGTCTGCCTGCCCCCCCCCCCCGCCCCAGCCTGCGTCACAGCAGGGGGATGGCTGTTGTGGTCAAGCTCAGTGGTCCAGGTGTCAAGCTGCGGACAAGGCGGAGATGAAAATGTAATGTTCTGACACAGATTAGGGAAGATCGATGTGCAGTGGTTTGCTCTTTGTGTCCTGTTTCAGCAAGAGCTAGTCCTTGTCAGCCCTTTATTCTTACGTCCTGAGAGGAGAAAACACAATCCGGTGGGATCAAGGGAAATTTCACCGATTCTTCCGTCAGAATCAAATTGTGCTTGTCCGTTTTCCCCAGGTTTGTCAAGGATCCTAGAGTTCATTGAACCCCGTCCATTTACAGATAAGGAGAGTCGGGTCCGCCATGGTTGATGGGCAGGTTCCCGGCCCTCTTGCTCCTCTTGGCTGGTCTGCATGCTCGTAGCCAGACTGCCAGCCTCCCTGCCCCGCACTGGGTGCAGCGAGCGGCCGCTGTGAGGCGCTGCAGCCAGGGTGTGGGTCTTCGCGGGCATCACACCCAGACATAAGGAGAGCTCCTTGGCGAAGGCACAGCGCTGAATTACTCAGATGGAAGAACACTCTGGCCAAGGGAAGAGTCCAGCTGTGTCAGTACAGCCAAGTGTGAATCCCAGAATAGAGGCGTTTGAATAGACTTGCTTACAAAATCTTCAGATTTAGCTTCTGATGGTAAATGTTTTCTCTAGAGTATGGGAACCAGGAAAATAGTTTTGTTTTTTCTTTTTTTTTTAACTATGTTATTGAGATAATTTCCAGGCTCTGAAGGAACACAGAGCCTTCAGATGACTAGAAAAACAAAACGAATGCTCCGTTCTTTATAAATAAAGTGAGTGAAACCATGAGGAGATGGTGCTGTGGATTAAAAGCACCTTAAGGAAAACGTCACGTAGACTTGCTGGGAGCCCGCTCAGCTGTGCGGGTGGCTCGCCGCCTTCTGCTGCGGGTGGACCATGGTGTCAGGTACACGGTCAGTCTGTTGTGAGTGCAGACAGAACACAGAGCAGTGCGTACAGACACATCCCTGGTGGCCATGGCGAGGTCCTCCTTTGTTGGGTTTGGTCTTGGAATGGGCTGGGGAGGGGGGCTGGGGCCTAGGGGTTGGAATTCTAATGCCCAGAGGCAGATGTGACTGACCGGTGGAGGCACGGGAGCCAGAATCTGGGCCCTTGCAGAAAGTTCTGAGTCTGGGAGATCTGCCTGTACCTTAAAGGACATTAGAAACTAAAATACCAGGCCATACATGGGTGTGGGCTCCAAGTTTATTCTGTCCCAGTGGTATGAGAACCAAAAGGAAAGCATGAACATAAAAATAGATACAGGCTCTTGAAGTCCTTTAAGGCCTTGGGCAGTGGCAAATGCAGAATCATCTTGCAGGCACATCTCCACTGTCCAAGGCACACGGGATTCAGAGCTGAGACCGTCTGCACAGAGAATGTCACATCCGAACAATATAAATAACATAACAGATCTACCACTGCAGATGCGGTGGGGGTGGGGGCACATCAGGAATTATAACAAACAGAAGAATAAATCTCCACGATTCTGAAATGTATTATAAAAGAACTTCACTATGTGAAGTTCACTATAAAGATAATTATTTTAATTTCAAAAACAAATGATTAAGAAGAAATAGAGCCAGGGGCATCTGGGTGGCACAGTGGGTTAAGCGACTGACTCTCAGTTTCGGCTCAGGTCATGATCTCAGGGTTGTGAGATCGAGCCCCATGTTGGGCTCTGCACTCAACGAGGAGTTGGCTTGAGATAATCTCTCTCTCCCTCTCCCTCTGCCCTTCCCCTGCTCATAGACTCTCTCTCTCAAAATAAAAATAATAAGATTTAAGATAGAAGAAATAGAGCCGTAATGAAAGGAGAGGACAGTGTGAAAGAAGAATTAGAAGGTTAAAAAAAAAAAACCAAAAATCCTTCTAAAAGTGAATGATAACAATCATTGAAGTGAAACATAGTTAAAGACAGAATTAGTGAAGTAGATTTATCTGGGGAAGTCATCCAAAACAGCATGAGATGGAAAGATATGGAAAGTATGAAACCATGATTGGGAGTCAGAAGAAAGAATGGAAGGTCTGTCAGGAAAT